GCATTTTTTTTTCAGTTCTTTATGGAAAATTAGATAAGAAGATAAATTTTTTTTTTTTTTTGTTTTTTTTGAGATTTATATTTTTTTTTGTTTTTTTTTTAATAAAAATATTTCTACATAATATTACATTTTTAGGTTTACTGACCTGTTTAAATAAATTTTCAGTTGAGACATTTAGTAATTTTCTTTGCTTTTTAAGTGGAAAATAATTTCTGAAGCCAAAAAATGGTTGTAGATGCTGCCATTAAGATTTAAAAGGGAAATTGTAAATGATTTAATTTTTTTGAGGATATTTGGTTTTGGATGGATACCAAATAGAATTATTTGTTTACATAGTTAATGATAATGTCCATTTTCTTTTTTTTATATCATTACATTTGTTTTTAGATTTGTAACATTCAGTAATGCTAAGATACCTCAATCTTTGGTTCTCCATTTTAGAATTTGGAGGAATTGGTTGAGTGGATGTCATGTTGTAATTTTTCATGGGTAAAAACTCATACCATGTTATTAAGGAATTTTGATAGCTTTATGGATAGGGGTTGGGATGATTATAAAATAAAATTGTCGTCTTTAAATATCCAGGTTTTGCATATTTTTATATTTCCATATAAGTATCCAGGATGGCCAATGAAAAATTCAATTTGATAACTACATATGCACATAAAAGATATAAAATGCTGAAATTTTAATCTTTTAAATTTTGAGGATATAGTCTATCCATTTTTATTTCTTTTTGGTTATGTTTTTATCTCTTTTCTTATTAAGTATCTTATTAAGTAACATTGTAATAATAAATATATATAGGGAAACTTTTTTATGTGTGACAGTATTTAAATTCTTTTAAAAAAAAGAAATTTTTACCTGTACCAACAAATGAGCTTATCCCCAAAATTCAGAGAGGTGGAAGTAAATTTGAAATGGTTTTTGTTGATTTTAGAGAACTCCGTTATGAAAAAATAAATATTTGATGTTTTGAAATTAATTTGGATTTTCCATTTCTGGACGAATCTCTCTGTTGTATTGGGAAAAAATCTTAAATGTATGAAAACAAGAAAAATAAAATGGATTGTTGGTGTTAATCAATGGAATAGACTATATTTAACTGTTGCATATGTACCAAGCCAAATAATTAAATTATTTTGAAATGTTTTTTACCAGATTTTTTTTGGGTCTTAATTTTTTTCAAAGAAAAAAATGATAGGGCCAAACAAAAACAGAAAAAGTTTTATATTAGTTTAAATGGAAGGAAATAATGGTTAATTTGAGACTTGAACAGGTTAAGATTGTAATGATCATGGTATACATCCTGTTGGGAAAACATTCTACAATTTGTTTTAATGGGAAGAATATTTAAAGTTAACTAACATCACAATGGAATTTCTGAGCAAATTTAGGATTTTTTTTTCAGTATGCATTTGATTGTGGGTCTTGGTCCTGATTGAGATTTTGAAAATTTCAAATTGGGATTAGAAGTAGCCAGGTATATTTTTCCTTATTTCTTATCACTCAATAAATCAAGGCTGACTGAATTTGGGATCATAGTCATTGTAAACATCATGATTCTTTCATTAGCTGCATATAGTACGTGCTTTGCCAGGGCTCGATACAGTTTTGAATTCAGAGTTGACCTTCTTCTAGACTGTTTGCCACTCAAGGCTATAGAACCCAGTCTGTCCTGCTATTTACCCATAGATGGTGGGAAAAGAGATAGATTCATACTATTCCCAAGGTTATTTACACACAAGTGAATGTAACAAACTTGACTGGAACTTGAACACAGCTGATTCCTCAATCTGAGCTGCTATCCATTACTCCACCATACATGCATTATCTTTTAACATATTCACATATTGGAATAGAAATTATCTTTTAATGTAAATTAATACTTACTGAAAAAAATAGAGTTTAAAGAGTAAAATGTAGTAATAAATACATTTTAAATATTATTTAAGTCAAACTTACAGGTTTCACCAAAAATGTTAATGTTAATGATAATGTTAAATAAAGTATTGTCACTCCTATTCTAAGTCCATGAACAATGTCATGAATTGATAGCATTGATGCCATATATGTGTATTAAATCCTTCTGTATTATCTAACATAGCTGCTTATTTCCAAGTACACCTGTCTATTCAGGCATCTAGCTAATCCCTGTTGTAGATGCCAAGCATATTTATGCTTGTTGGATGAGTCTAATGGTGATTACAAAGGTACAGTAGTTTGAAAAAAATCACTCTGATCATTCTGATAAGAAAGGAACTCCTGAATTTGTTGGTGAGGGCCTCAGATTCAACACAGAGGCCGACATCAAGTGCCTTGAGGAGGTAGTGTTGCCATGGGTCAAGAGGGTAGCTGCTGGAAGACCCAGTATGACTCTGGCACCATGCTATACAAGCAGGAGAACCCAGTCATGGCTGTCACACAATTTCTGCAACCACATCACTCAATACTTCCCAGACTGCAACACCCTTGATCATTATGTATGGGGTGCAGTTGATTGAGCATCAAAATTCCTTATAACATCAAAAATGAACTGAAGGCAAGGATTAGGTATTTACTCTGTCTCCCCACTAAGAATTTATTTTACTTGACAAGGTCTTTTTAAATTTTTTTCCAAAATAAACACCTGGACGAGGAACAAAAATTGCCTGCAGCCCCTGCAAATGTTGGTTGCACTGACCTAATGAAATACCAATCCCTCCTGGTGCAATGAACATGACATAAAAATAAAAAAAAAGTGTTCCCCATGGCTGGGCACCTCTCAAAACTTTTTTTCTCAGTTGTGGCTCTTTTAAATTGTAATATACACCCAAGTGGACTCTGCCCAAAGACAGAACTCCAACTGAGAAATATGATAAACAATGGGGTCGAACCACTCAAAATGTAATTTGAGGACAATGAAAGCAAAATGGCATTATCGACAAAATTTTTGCAACCTAAACAAAGGAGACCTCCTGAACAGTTGCAGGAGAAGTCATATGAAATCATGATTAAAAATATGGTTCTTTATTGAATAAATTTAATTTTGTTAAATTTTTTTTATAAACATATTGTGACAGAGAGAGTTTGGGAAAACAAACACCCACACATAATTTTTTTTTTTATTTTTTTTGGAGAAATTAAAGATTTGAACAGTGAAATTAGATCAGAACAATTTTGTTTACTGAGGGAAACCTGATCTCACCCATTTGGACCCATTGTCATTAGAAAGAGACAATGGAAAATGGTCGAAATAACTTTTTATCGATTAAAATTTGAAATAGAGCTTACTTCCGCTATTGAGAACTTTGAAACTCACATGGTTTTAGGTTGAAACAAAAAAAAACACTCATGATAATTATTGCAATAAGGCTTAACTATATAAGAACACAGAAATCTGTTGACCTCTTTGGTTGGCTGGTCTAAAAGAATTGCAGGTCGAGCTGGAGAGAGAGGTACGAAGGTGGGATTGAGGTCAGAGAATTGAACCTGGCCCGGCTAACATATTTTGTTGATATAAGTTGGAAGAAGCTTCTTACTCCTCCAACATCTAAGACTACTACTGCTAGGATTATTACTACCAAGTACCGAAATGGAAATGAAATCTTTATGTTACTAATCAAAGAGTCGTATATCATTCTGAGACCATTAATCACAACAAAAAAATTCTCTGTCTAGAATCCAGTGTATGAGTTTTTACATCAATTATTTTTTTTTCAAGTAAATCGTTTCTTTTCTATACTATTCTTTTCTGCTATCTAAAAGACATTAACAATTTAACCATTGAATAGTTGTTTGTTCGGTTTACTGCAGATATATATATTTTTTGGTGCATTCTAAATTTGTTAGCACAGACTCTCCAGCCGTGTTTACATCTCTAGTTGACCGTGAATGGATGAACATCACTTCTGCTTTCTGGATCAAACCAAACACAATGTGGGCAGGAAGCAGGATTAAACCAGTGGACCGGTCAAATGATCTACAGATGCTCAGGGGACCTACAGTCACTCCCTTAAGTTCACTTAAGACTGAGTAGATACCTCAACCCAGAGAGTAAGACATCGGAGGTTGAGGGGCTGGGGTGAAAGTGGTTAGACTGGTAGCCGTGACCAGGATAGACCCGTAGAAATTACCATGACTGTCTGAAAGAGGAGAGAGGGTTGCATTTGTGTTGTCCAGTTGGGACCAGGTAAGACCGGAAAGAACTCTAGTCTTCGGACTATATTGGTCTAGAAGGAAGTAAAAGAAGGAAGAAAAAGAAACAAAGAACGGAGTGATGGACCTCAGGTAAGTCACTTTTTGGTTTCCTTTGTTCACTCATTGCACTTAGATCTGCCAGTAATATTGTTGATCTTGTTTTTGTCGAAGCTGTATGCAGTTGAAGTGCCACCACCATATTAAGTATTTTTCCTTTCGTTCTGTTGTTGAAAGTGGTAGTTGAGAGGACGCTAGGATGAGTATAGCAGGATCAGACACCACAGATGACCTTGGGGGCGTGGGAGTCCCCAAAATATCGATGGGTTTCAGGAGGCTGATACGTAGCTACCTACTTATAAAAGGAAACCTTGCGGACATGCACAAATGGATTCTGTCCATTCAGAAGAAGCAGGTGATTTATGGTCTCTCGGACTAAAAAATGGTGCTCCTAGCTTACGATGCCGCAGTGGGGCAGGTGTCCAAACACGGCCCTGATGTGGACTGAGCTTAAATTCGCTCTGGTGAGGCAATACACAAGTGAGCGTATGGCCATTGAGACAGTCAGTAAATTAGTAGTGATGAAAAAGAAAGACCGGGAACAGATCCAATCACCGAAAAGAAGAGGTGGAAGGACTGGGTGGCTGAGGCGGTTCCCAATAGGAGGAGCCTGGGATCAGCATTATAGGTTTCTAGCCCACACCGGGCTGATATGAGCTAGTGTGCTGGACTTTGTATGGTGGGCATCGGGTCTGCAACTGCCCGACAAACTATGGAGGGAGACCGTAAACTGGGGATAAAATGAGTTAATACGCTGATGCCCCTTACGAGAAGGAAAAAAGTCCGGGAAACACCGATGGGTCACCCGTGAAAAAAAAGAAGAGGCAGGTGGCCCCAGTGCAAGTAAGACCTCTGAGATGTTGGACATGTGGTGTGGGTCGGGCACTTTTTGGCAAGTTATAGGAAGCGAAGGTGTTGGCTGTGGAGAGAAACGTCACCTGGGGTGAACATGTCCTAAATGGGATGGACCACACTGAGCAAAAACAAACCAAACTCAAATGGGGGAGAAATGGGTTGCTAGTCCGAGAAAGAGAGTCATCTGAGCTCTACCCCACCCAGGAGGGCCCCTAGACAGAAATGGGAGCCACTAGAAATTGAACTTCTATCACCGACTCCATCTTGGTTGTCGAGAAGGTGAGAGGAAGGGAGAGAATATATGGGAAGGAGAAAGGCACAGGTATACCGTTTGCTGAAAAGAAGGCCAGACTTCACCTGTAATGTGTTGCTGGAAGACAAGAAGGTGAAGGCCCCTTGTCGATACTGGAGCTTCAGTGTCACTGGTTAGCTCAAAGTTTTTGAACAGTTGGGACTGGGGAAGCTTAGTCCCATTGATCAGGCTGATAGTAGCAGGATGAGGATAAAAGGGTATGACGTGGCTACCTTTCCAGTTGGCAAGAACCAGAGGTAAACTTAAGAATTGTGATTGTTCGACAAGAATTATGTGGTACTTGATTTGTGCAGTGAGCTAATTTTGGGGAGTGACTGGCTTAGGCAGAATAAGGCACAGATCCGTTTCGACCCTGCCACCCTAACATTGGATTGGGTAGGGATACTGTTGGGAGAGGATAATTATGAACAATTGCCAGTGGTGGCCCAGACAGATATAAAGCTTCCCCCTAGGACTACTGTATCTGGGAAGGGCAAGATTATGACAGTGACCTGTACCAAGTGGTCCCTACTGATAGTTAATGTCCATCATATTGAATGGCACTGAGGCATTTGCTATGGCGTATCTAGATGACATCATGGTGTTCTGCAGAAGGTGTTCAATAAGTTAAGGGAACATGGATTGAAGTTAAAATTATCAAAGTGTCAGTTTATGAAAGAAGGGACAAAGTATTTAGGGTTTATCATAAACAAAGAAGGAATGAAAACGGATTTAGACAAAGTTGAGGTTATAAGAGCCAAAGACCGTAAGAGAGATTAGGGGATTTATTGGAGCTATCAGATATTACGGAGGTTCATACCAGCATTTAGTCGGCTATCAGGTCCTCTAATAGCTCTAAGAATAAGCATGCTAGGTTTTAAGCGGACCGAGGATTGTCAGCGTGCATTCAATGCTCTAAAAGACCAGCTGAGAGCTGTACTCCTGTTAGCCTACCCAGATCTGAGTAAGCCCATGGTGCTGTACACACGATGCTAGCGATAAGTGTATCCGGGCGGTTCTTCCCACAACCATGTCCCGATAAGGATGGACCTGTACCAGGTGTGCCTGAGGAAGTGCCGATCTATTTTCTGTTTCATCCGGCTCTCCGAGACTCAGCAAAAGGTGGCCAGTAATAGAAAAAAAGAGGCATTCGCCATTCTGTATGCTCTTTAGAAATTAGATTATTATTTGAGTGGGGTTGTGTTTACCATTAAAACAGACCACCAACCCCTCAAATATTTGTTAGAGGTGGAGTGGACGAATAAGAAGATACAACAGTGGGCATTGAAGTTAAGTGGATATAACTGCAGAATAGAATATTTGGCAGGGAAGGATAATACCTATGCTGACCTGTTATCGAGGATTCTGAAGCAATTAGAGACCGAATCTTTCAGGTTGGAGCTGGGTGTGGATGATGAAGAATTCCAAATTAATGTGATCAATTCACAGGCGTTGAAGGAGAGACTTGGTTGGGAAGATCAGGAAGCAGGTGAAAGCAGGAGATTATTTCCGACCACCACTGGAGAGATTTTATTAGGCAAAACCAAGAGGATAGCGAGATAGCAACTATCAGGCCCAGAGTAGAGGCAGGGGCATACCTCCAAATATATGGTGCACGATGGAGTGTTGTATTACCTTTCAGGAAGAGATGAGGAAGTAAGTTTAAAAATGGTGATACCCGAGAAGTTGAGAGCTGAAATTCTAGACCAGTGCCATATGAGGCTAGAACACCTGGGAATTGATAACACGTATGGATTAATAATGAGGAATTATTATTGGCCTAAGTTGTTTAATGATGTTGTGAACCATGTAAAAAAAAATGTGTAACCTGCCAAGTACAGAGCCGAAGGAGTAGGGTTGCCCCAGTATTAGAAACGGATGTTCCAAATTATCCATTTCAGAAAGTAAGCATGGATATTTCCGGGCCCTATGGAGAAACACATAGAGGTAATCTTTACATACTGAGTTTTGTAGACTGGCTGACGAATTGGCCTGAGGCATTTGCCATACCGGATAAGAAGGCACGACCAGTGTCAGATATAATACTGAACGAAAAATTCCCTAGGTATGAGGTCCCCGAACAGTTGGTTACCGATAATGGATTGGAGAATCTGAATCAGATTATGAGAGAGACGTTGGAAAAATTAAACATACAGCACATAACCACTTCTCCATATCACCCCCAAAGTAACGCTAAGGTAGAAAGCTTTCATAAGACCCTCGCTGATGTGTTAGCTAAACTAACAGGGATAATAGGGAAAATTGGGATTTATTAAGTGGCGTTAGCAACTGTGAGATTCTCGATAGAACGAGGCGACAAAATTTTCCCTTATTACTTGATATATGGGGATATAGTCTTACCTATAGACAATCTGTTACGACCTAGGGAGGAAGTATTTAGGAGAGGATCATCACCAAATAGTTTTAGAACAACAGCATAAAATTTTTACGCGCAGGTGAGAGAAGGATTCAAAAGAGCTCAGAAAAGGCGAAATGATAGGGTAAATAAAATGAAAGTTTCCTTCCAGATAGGTGATCAGTGTATATAAAATACACAGGATAGAAGGTAAAATTGGACCAGAGATGGAGTCCATACTATAAGATCGTGGAGCAGACATGCCTGGTTTCCTTTGTGATCTGGGACCAATTGACGGACAGGTAAAAAAGAGAGTGCATGCAAATGATATAAAGTTAGCTGAAATAGGAGAATGGAAAGGGCTGAAAACAAAAACTCAACAGAAAAAGGCTGAGAAAACTACGTTGGTAGAACCTGAAGGGTTAGAGACTGAGAGTGAAAGTGAAGGGTGAGGAGATTAAATTTGTTGAACTACCCTTTGAAGGCTGAGGGAGGTAGAAAAGTCGGACCCCAGCGGAACATTCTGAGGAAGCAGTTGAGCCTAACCTTAGGAAAGAAGAAGAACTGAGTGAATGGGAAGAAGAGAATTAACATTGTGTTAGCTCAATTGCAGAGCAAATTCCGGGCTGAAAAAAGGCACCTAGTGTTAATGAGAATTACAGCTAAAAGCGGAGACTGAGGGGATTGGTGCAGCCTGGGCCCAAGGATTAAGTGAAACCAGTACAGTGGCTGTGGTGAATGGTGACAGTCTGGAACTAACTGTGCATTTATCATTGGTGCTGGTGAACTGTGTGGGCCAGATGTATGTATGCCGCAGTGCTGGTGTGGTGATGTGGGGTTGATGCTTGAGTATCCAGCTCTAAGATGTAATCACCCGGCTGAAAACAATAAGAAAATGATTGAGTAAGACAAATTATTCTCTCCATCTCTTTGCAGACATGGACGAGAGGAGGCTCGTGGTACTGATGATGCTGGTTATGGTAGCTAATACCTGGGAACACAGTGATGATACTGTATTTAAAGACTATCCCGTGATTATAACTAAATCAAAGTGGTTGATAACTTTGGTGATAGACCTGCAGTCGTATGAGAAGTTACTGGGTCAATTGAAGATCGAAGTGGACAAACTAGTTACAGCCAGGACACAAGTTGCCGGACACTATTTACAGACTCCGGAATACCACCATATATTATACCCCTTAGCTCAGAAATCCCTAATACTTGAGAGACAATGGAAGGATATGAGTTACAATTTGAAAGGAATAAAGTTGTTTACAGACCAGGCAAAGAGGCAGTATTATCTATAGTGGGAAGGCATTAAGCGTGTTGTTTGGTACAGTCTCCAAAAGGCAAGTGAGAGTAATTAAGGAAATTAAGGCGGTAGAACAGAGACAACAAACAATGGCTCAGCGGGGTTAAAGAGGCGTGTCTATACTCAATGTTACTAGGCTGGAATTGACTAGAATAGAGGGGTATTAATTGGTTGATTTCTCACCTACGGGTTTTAGAAAAAGTGATAAATTTAACCATCTGTAACAACTTGATTACAGAAATTTGAGGGGTTTTGAAAAAGGTATTTTCAATTATTATCTATAAAAAGTAAGGCGTCAAACAAGTCACTCTTTAACAGTGTTGTTAGAGCATGTGAGAGCACAATTAGACATGCTGTCGCTGGGACACCTGTCTCCAAGTATGATTAAGAGAAGTTTGAAGAGAATGAGGCTTTGTTAGAGCTGGTAGGAACGAATGCCAGTGGATGGACGGAATTGTGGGAACCTATTGTAAGAGAGATTCCTAAGATGTCGCTAGAAAAGATGCCGGCGTCATTAAGGCCAATCGATAAGACTGATCTCGGATAGTCGAAGTCGGAGTTAGATAAGATAGGTATGCCGAATTCGGACTGGAAAGAGAATTTGGTTGCTATAATAACCTGGTCAACTGTTGTGGAAATTATACTAATGATAGTTGTGGCCTTGCTAGTTTGGTGGTGGCTGAAGAGGCATGAGGTGTTACAACCAGGCAGAATAAACTGGAGCGTGAGTGCATGACAAAAGGAGGATTCAGTTAATGCACTTTACCAAGGTAGGTCCGACCAGTGCATTAGGACCCCTAACTGATATTGAAGAAGAGAGTCCACAATTGTGGAAGGACCTGAACCAACAAAAGATTCGAAAAAGCCTGTTGTGAAGGCGAGACAAAATCGGAAGGACCAATTTACAAAATAAAACAAAATTTTCTTAAAACTTTTTTTCTTTTCTCATAATGAGACTGAAAGAATTGGTAAGTAGTGTTGCGAACAAAAAAAAAAAAAAAAAAGAACATGCGAACTAGTGAACTATGTGAAAAAAGAAGAACATGCGAACTAGTGAACTATGTGAAAAGGTTCTACTGCATGAGATCACCACAATGGTGAAATTTAACTGGAGGTTGCATGTACATAAGTATCGTAAGGACAATGAAAATGTAAATGGGCATAATGAGTCCTAAGAAGACTGGGTTTTCTCGTATTTTGCTGATAGGAAAGCATGTGTCATTTACTGGTAAATGACAGAAGGGTAGGGGAGGAAATGTGACAGAGAGTTTGGGAAATACACAAACACCCACACACATATATATTTTTTTTTTTTTTATTGAAATTGGAGTGGATGTGAACAGTGAAATTAGATCAGAACAATTTTGTTTACTGAGGGAAACCTGATCTCACCCATTTGGAATTGGGTCATTAGAAAAGACAATGAAAAAAATGATCGAAATAACTTTTGTCAGTTAAAATTGAAATAGAGCTATTTTCAGGCTATGAGAACTTTGGAAACTCACATGGTTTTTCAATTGACAATTTTCACTCAAGATAATTTTAATGTGGACCAAAACTTGATTTGTGATCAATCAAGGCTTATCTATATAAACACACACAAAATCTGTTGACAGAGTAGTTGGCTGGTCTACCAAGTGCAGTCGAGCTGGAGAGAGAGGTCAGAGATTGGGACTGGCGTCAAATTTAACCAAACGCCGCTAACATATTTTGTTGATATAAGTACGAAGAAGTGAATTAATCCTGCAACATCTAAGACTACTACTATTATTGCTACCACGAAGATTACTACTACTGCTACTATTATTGCTACCACAAAGATTACTACTACTGCTACTATTATTGCTACCACAAAGATTACTACTACTGCTACTATTATTACTACCACTGGAAATGGAAATGTCGAACAAGCTACAATAATCAAGAGAAGCATATCGTCCTGAGACGATTCCACAACAAGCTAATCACAACCCACTCTCACTCTGTCTAGAATCCAGTGTATGAGTTTTTACATCAATTATTTTCTTTTCCATAACCTGTTTTTTTTTCTATACTATTCTTTTCTGCTATATAAAAGACATTAACAATTTAACCATTGAATAGTTGTTTGTTCGGCTTACTGCAGATATATATTTGTTTTGGTGCATTCTAAATTTCTTAGCACAGACTCTCCGGCCGTGTTTACATCTCAAGTCGACCATGAATGGATGAACATCACTTCTGCTTTCTGGATCAAACCAAACACAATGTGGTCAGGAAGCAGGATTAAACCAGCAGACCAGTCAAATGATCTACGGATGCTCAGGAGACCTACGGTCACTCCCTTAAGTTCGGTTAAGACCGAGTAGATACCTCAACCCAGAGAGTAAGATGGGGCGGAAGTGGTTAGAATATCTGTTAAAATGGAATGTCTGTGTTATTTTCATTTTTACATCATTTAGATGAAAATTTATCCATCACACCCTATAGATGCTCTTGGTGAAATGCATAGTTGATAAATTTTCCCCTTTATCATCATCATCATTTTACTTATTATAAAACACAGATTGTGTAAGTGTGTGTGTCTGTACATTTATATATTGGATCGGATTTCCTACATTTTTCAATGGATTTCAACAAAACTTCACAGGACTACGTAAAATTACCTTGCGGTGGTTCTGACAGCACCCAAAATTGGAAAAACACAATTGTTTTTGCATGCAGATTTCCTACATTTTTCAACCGATTTCAACAAAATTTCACTTTTTTTTGGCAGATAGTGTTTCTTATTGTCTTGCACACTTTTTTCTTTATTTTTACATTCAGAATGCTTTAAAAACAAGATTTACAAGACAATTGTTTATAATAAAATTCTATTCAATCGGTAGACTCATAGAAATTGAAAACAATGTTTTTGTTTGAGTTTGGGTTTGACCAATTCGTAAAAAAAAGAAACAAAACAAAACAAAAACTAATTAAGAATGCGTGTCCGTTAACCTTAAACAATAATCTTAGTCAATTTTATTTTTCAGTCTTTATGATGGTCGATACTTGATCTATCTCTTACTGTTACATCCCTGGGCAATGCCGGGCTCTACTGCTAGTAATAAATAAAATAATGCAATAAAACAAGTTTGTTTATTGATCTTTCTTTTAAGGGGAGAATATAAACATTTTTTATAAAAACAAGGTAAATTAGATAATTGATTAATAAAAATGTGAAGTTAAAAAAAATTAGTAAATAATAATAGCGTAAATTTGTTTATTACATTTGCATTTTAAGAGAAATGTTTTTAAAATAATTAAAGAAAGTTATGGTTAGTAAAATATATGTTGTTCCAATAACTTGAACCGATTTTAAATGTGAATTAAGTTTAAGCGTCTAATGACTTTTTTTTCTTTTTCTTTCAGATTTAGCAACTTAAGTCTTTGGCGATTTCAACCTCGGAAAGATTAACAATCAAATAAAAAAATAATCGAACTGTGTTTAAAAAAAGGGGGTACAATTATTTGTTTTACTTGGGTTGAAATGATTAAAAAAAAAAAGATTCTTATCACATTTTTACTTCACCAAGTTAAAACATAGACCGTTACAAAATTTCTCCAAACACTTTCTCCCGACCGATTGTCAAAATTTAAAATAAACTCAAAAATAAAGATTTTAATAAAAATGGCATGATAAATTTTGTAAAATTTATTTGGGGATATTTGCTTCATGCTGTTCTCTGGCTAAGGAAAAGCCAACAGACTACTTTTTAAAATATCAAAAGAAAAAAAAAAATCTGCCTCGTTAATCTGAGATACTACAATCATCAATGTTGCATTGACCAAGGAAACTCAAGTCTTATCTAACTTATAAAACTGTTCTATGTCAATGCATATGTCAGCTAGATTTCATATCCTGTTGAGTTTGTAGTAACATTGCTTTGTAACATTATTTATAAATTGCGTTCTTTACTAATATGTACAGGTGTTATAAATTATGTAATTTACTTATATCTATAAAACAAAAGGTGTGTGTCTGTGTGTGTGCGTGTGTGTGTCTGTGTATGCTATGTATGCACGTCCATATTTCCCGACTGATTTCGATAAAATTGTACACATATCAGGCAAATTTACTAAATTAGGTCAACTCCTCTCCCACAACCCAGGTTTGGCAGAAAAATCGAGAAAACTAAAGGTGGATACGACTTTTTTCAAAAACCAAAACAAAGTTACACACGAACAAAACATGGCTCATGTTACAAGGTTTATGTAGAATGCTTGATTGTTTTCCTGCGACATTGGCTTCATACAAAAAATTGCAAAAAAACTGAAAAAGTCAGGCTTTCCGTGTTACTTAAAATAAAAATTTGAATAACTTCCTCATTTTTAATCTGATTTTTTTCAAACATCTCGCAAAAAATTGCCATCATGCAAGAGATTAGATAGTGTGGTTTTAGTCCTACTCGCTTTCATGCGTATAACGAAAAACCACAAAAAAACTGTTCAAAATACCCCCTTTTTGGCCATAACTCCCTGGTTTTTCACCTGATGCTTTCCAAATTTGCTATGCAAATTACATATGACACACAAATTGTCTTGCGTGAATGTTTGGTTTAGATTATTTCAGTTAAGTGGACAAAATCTGCGACAAACTAGGTTCAAAATCGGCTTTTGCCATTTAGCCAATAGTTTCTTCATATGATTCCATCCTAAATTGGCATTTGAACAACCCTTGATGCAAAGATTGTTTGAAAGGATTATTAAGCGTTAAAAGGAAAAAATTCCCGAAGAACCTCTTATTAACCCCAGCTTTACAGTAAATGTCTCGGAAGGAAGGAGGGGGGCGTTCATGCGTTTGCACTTGCAGTTGAATCAAACTCTGACGTTTCATCTCTGTTTTTGTTTGATTATTAGATTTGTGAACAATGCCAAACTATTTGAAAGATATTATGGCAATAAGAAATTTATTGTAAAACTTTGAAACAATTTAACCCCGAGTAACCACCACACAAGGTTTTATCGATGGAGTTCCTTTATTAAGAACAAACACTTACGAAGGACATACTGTAAAAAATAAGGGGGTGAATAGCTTAGTATACCAAACGGATGATGCATGCAAGCGGGGATGCAGGCAAACATTTCTAGACAGTTTATACGTGATGGGTTATACAAGTACACGTGGGCAATGCCGGGTACCTTGGCTAGTCATATATAAGAGGCATAGTGGAGTAATGGATAAAGGTATGAATCCTCTTTTCCTTCCAGCTATATGTAAATAGCAGGACATACTGGGTTCTATAGCCTTGGGTGGCAACCCCTTTGGGAAAAATAAATTAAACAAAATTTATGTTCAAAAAAGAAAAACGGACTTTGTCAGGCTATCTACAACATTTACCATTCTATTGCATTTACAATCTGGAATAAAATCTCCTCTGACCCTGATAGGTCACAGGATTCACTGTATATCTTAGTATATAGTATATTTTCTCTTTATATATTATTTCAACAGATATAATTTAAGTAAATGCTCTGTTTTTTAATTAAACAGTATTAAGCCAGTATCATTTACTGGCATGAATGTTTGAGAAATTTTGTAGAAAATGTGTGTTCAACAATTTCTAACATTCAGGTAGGTAAATGTAATTAATGCTATTTAAAAAAAAAAGTATTTACTTAAAAATTAAAAATTTTTAAAAAGCATTCACTATTAAAATAATGTATAAACAGAAAATATATTCAATAATTGTCAGACTTAGTCTATTTCATTGTGTGTGTGTGTGTGTGTGTGTGTTTATATATATATATATATATATATATATATATATATGTTCAAATAAATTTTAATATTTATTATTTCTTAAAAGGACACTTAAACTTAGAGAGTTGAGATTTCTAGGAGACATAATGAAGAAAATGGGCTTAACACTCACAGGGCATATTGAAGGTAAGAGAGACAGAAAGAAGCAGCACATAATCTATCTAATAAACTTGTGTAAATGATTGGCAGAAAAGTTTTTCGGAGATATTGCAAATAAAAAAAAAACATTTACTAAGAGCTACATAAGACAGAAAATTGTGGAGAGACATGATCATCAACATCCTGAATGGACATGGCACATAGAATATTTCTGTAGATAATAAAGAAAAATCTCGTACTTGGCATATTCATTTTTGTGGTCTGTATTAATTTGGCTGCCTTGGGTTGGACGGAGAGGATGTTGTTTTTGAGCAATAGAATGAAGACGTTCCATCAATGCCTACAAAAGGAAAAGAAATAGGATAAAGTTAAGACAATTAGTGATGTTTTAATTCATTTTCTAGTGAGTAATTTTTTTAAGCCACATATTTAAATTCAAATGTTGAGTATCCCAATATCTTTGAAGATTTTCTGTAAACTGTAGCCTATGTGCATTGTTCTATTTTGACTTCATTAATAGTCACTTGTCTGAAAAACATTTAATCTGAATAAAATGTGTCACAATAAAGTTTTTCATTGTCATTTATTTACTTGCTATTATTCGGACAGACATTATCTCATGTTTTATCTATTTTAAATTAGACAGGTTTTGAACAGTTGTCAAAGTTTGGAAGTCTAAAAATATGTTTTGCATCAGCTGGTCACATTTTTTCTATTGATTAATGTTGCCATTTATAGAATTTCACTTTTGTATTCATCAGTTTATAATAACTAGGATTAAAATGAATGGAAAACATTTCCACTGATGTTTAACAAAGATATTAAATGACAAATACAAAAATATAATTTATTAAATGAGATACATGTTATATATATACAAAAGGACAGCTTCAATGCTTAAAATATAAAAATATCTTTTTGAATCTCCTAAACAGGTCAAAGTTTCAACCAAGAGCCTTCTGCATAAAATAGCTTAAATTTTGGAATAGTAGTTAGCATCTATAAAAGCCAAGATAAACTCATCTTTTTTGCTCTGTGCAGTATTTTTTATTTTCATTAATTTTTGTTTATTTAATTCAACATACAAAGTTCTTAATTTCTCCTTCTGTTTCCTTAGGTTGTATTTGGTGGTTGTTCCAATGCCAAACTCCTCAGTTTTATGTCAACATAAACCCTTAAAATTTTTTGGTTTAAATTTCTGTGATATTGATAAACATAAATGCTTTCTTTTTTTTTTTTTCACTACTTTTATTAATGGTATCTGTAGGACTATTTGAATTTTGGATATCTTTTGGTTTCACACTTTTCACTGGTAAGTAATCCATGAACAAAGGTGTTTAAATATGATCACTAACAAAAACTGGGTTTTGGCATACTAGGCTATTCTGTCTCTCCCACCATCCCAAGGCAGATTTTTGGTCATTTACAACAACTTCACATCACAAGGAACCTTCCCAGTGTTTTCTGAAATTTTCCATTTTTGTTATGTCAGCACTTCAGAAGAACAGATATAGGATATTCAACCTGTCTATATTACTGCAAATGTTATTTTTAGTGAATACCCACATTTGAATATATACTCTGTTTTTGTTTATTTAAAAACAGTTGTTTATTTCATTTATGGGCCTGCATTTATCTAAAAAATGTGCCCTCCTTTTGTTCAAACTTACTTAAAAACCACTTTCTGATCTGGTATTTAATTTCACCAAAACACTTGTACGAAGTACGTCGAAATAAAAGCAAAGTTCTAATTGCTGTTTAAAGCACATTCACTTGTTCAGATTTTTCATGAAAGCCATCTCTACTCAGTTTTCTATCCAAAATGTACACAAAGCAATTTCTAAAGAATTAATGGATTTTATTTTATAATCTGATATATTTTTATTATTTCAAAATTTTGGAGGAGATGCAGATCAAGAGACTTTCACTTACAAAGGACAGGTTTAGGAACTCAAATTTGTTGGCAGAACTGCAAAAGGCACTGCAGGTGACAAGGTTGACATGAAGAGTTGGGAGCAGAGTGTTCAGATTGAGCAACTGAGCTTTGAACAATTTCTCTTTGACTTGATATTGTCTGAAAAAATAAGCAAAAGCAAATTATCAAACAAATCACTACAATCTGTAAGGCAAAGAGAGTTGATATAAAAGTGAAAGGCCACAAGATATTAACATTAAAAATGAAATTCTCTACTTTCACCAAGCCACCTGATGAGCTTGAGTAAATGGATGGAGGAACAAGGTTTAGGAGAGGACACAAGGACAAAATTCATTATGAGCTACAAAGGACAGGAAATTGTGGAGAGCCATGATTGCCAACATCCTGAAGGGATGAAGCTCAAGATGTTGCTTTGGATATCTCAAAAGTATTTGAAAGGGCTTGGCATACTGCTCTTCACAAGTTGAAAGGTTAATGTATTTCTAGACCAATTTTTGAATGGATTCAGTCTTTTTTATCAAATGAAATGATGTTTTCTTGAATGACTATTCTTCTAGAGCTTTTTGCATTAATGCACATGTCCTCCAGTGCCCTATCCTTGGATAGAGATGCTACTTGACAGGACATATACATGTGAGATCTGCTTAACAAATGAAAAGCAAACAACACAAAAATAAAAAAGTATCAGAATTTTCTTTTCTTCTCCATATTTCATTTTCTGATGAAGTGTAAATATAAATAAAACATGTTAAATTTTTTAAACGTTTCTTATTTATTCCTTCTCCTATCATTCTGTCAGATCTGAATCTATAGTTGATCCCAATTCATAAATATCACCAGAATAGGTTACTGGAGTAAAATATTTGACTGGGCTGATAAGGTTTGATATCTGGTCCCGATAGTATTTCAGTGGACAAGAACACTTGGCCATGCCTATTTCCTCCCTAAATATCATGAGACAGATTTCATAGCAGAGAAGAATTGCTGGCCTGATTATAAGCCACTATTAGTATAAGGTGCACTCCACCTCTCAAAGATTATAATTGTCTTGTAAAAGTTGGGAAGCTAGCCTATTTGGTCAAATGGAAGCAAGACCCAAACCTAGATTGTTGATTTGGTTGTTCTGCCTCTATTCATTTGAGAATTCAAGTCAACAATGGATGTGGAAGACCAAAGAGAAACATCAAACTGCTACAATCTGGCATTTACTCTTGGTCATTACTGCAATAAAAAGCAAAAAATATGCCAAAAATGTTCAAGATGTTCTTACATTAATGCCATTATTTCTTTATATTGGGTCTCTAGACAAAAATTAATGACCTTTCTCAGCAAGCCTTTGTAAGTATTTCTATAGCACTATAATATAAAGTAGCTAAAACAGACCTTTCGACTTCTTCAAGAAGTTCTTTTTTCTTCTCTGCAATACGTTGCTGCATAGAATCATAGAGTTGATTAATGGCATCCTTCTCAGCCTCACTGTTCTGGCGAATCTCTACTAGTAACGACCGAAGCACTTGGATCCCTTCCTTCACAGTGTTCTGTAAATCTTGAATTGACTAAAGAAAAAGATAAATAGATTTTATGAGTTATAGGTTTAAAAAAAAAAAAAAAAACCCAAAAAAATCAAAAAAAAAAAAACCCTTTAAACTTAAACTGAAAGAAAGATATTTGTTTGGCTATTTCATTTTTGAGATGAGGAGTTATTTTTTATATTTGTCCTTCATTTGTGTTATCGTCATGTTGTATCCTTCTTCAGGGGTATATTGGTCTGAATAACCTTTAGGGAACTTAACATTTTATTTAATCTATGAGAGTAGACTGTTCTCATTCCACTGTCCTTGTCTACAGAGATCTCGTCATACTCTTATTTAGTACTACTCTGTTATATCTCTTCCTAGAAACAGGAACGGATATAAATGCGTATATCTGTAGACATTCAAACTGAGCCCTAGAAATATCTGGTTTTGTTCTTATTTAGTACTGCTTATTTCTAACTCTGTTTCCAGTGAGTCTATGTTCCTAGATATTCAAATTGAACCCTAGAGATAACTCATCCCTGGTCTTTTGAACAAGAAGTAGAGGTTTATCTCGTTTCCTGTCTAAGATTGGGTTTCTGGTTCCTTCTAAAGTCTTCTCATTCTCTTTTAATCCCAGTAGCCCCTTGTGTTTCAGTGGCATTATCACCTTGCTTGGGATGAAGTGATTTTTTTTTTTCTTTACCGATTTCTTTTTTGCTGTTGTGGCAAAATTATAATAGTAGGTAAGTTTTTCTATCGCCTGGTTCACACTCCTCCCCAATATTTTGAAAAAAATAAATTAGAATAAAATCTTTAAAGCAAGCATTTACATTCAGGTTGGGAATATATTTGAAGTTTTTGAGAAATTCAATCAATTAGAAAGCCAAAAAATATCACCTGTACTGCTTGATCCAACTTATTGCAGCCCTGCTTATAAGCTGTCTCTAAGTCTACACAATGTGCTCGGCTTTCCCTGAAAGAAAAAGAGATAAATGAAATTCTGCTTGAATTTCTGAAGTATTGTTGTAAATATATGTTTATTCTTTTGGAACAGTTCTTGTCTGTACCAACCATGTGGTTTTTCTTGCTTGGCAAAGAATTTAATTCAACCTGTACACCATCTGCAAAGGTTGACCTCTGTATATCACATATATTCTAACAGCATAATATCCCCCATTGCCCATAATGTCACCACTTTGTTGTTGCTCGATTTTATTTTATCAATCAGTCATTCCTTATTCCAGAACTATCAAGAACTTTGCATTTTTGGTGTCATGATGTGGTAGTGCTTTTTTTTTTATCTTGGTAGCCATTGCATTGCATGTAACAAGCTTCTGAGAGGATTTCACACAGTGGTTGTTGTCATTCTGGGGAGATTTCAGTTTTAAAATCTCTGCAGCTATGGTAACTGCTTTGCTGGAAATGAATTTTAAGGCACAAAGCAATAAACAACATCCAACAAGGGCCTTAAAGATAACACATTGAAGAAGCTAAAAGTATATAAAGAGTAAAAAATTAATAAGTTTTCTATGTGGCCATGCTGAGTCTATTCTAGCAGTAATTCACAAATGGAGAGACCTCAGAGCAGCAACCAGAGAAGGAGGATTAAAACTGGACTATCTTGTCATCTGGTTTCTCTCTGTCAACTGTTCCCTGATTTGGTATTGATTGGTTTATATAAGAATTTCGCAAACCACTGACATTGTTTTATTGCATGTTTTTTGATATCAGGACCTTTGTCTGTTTGAAAACCAGATGCTACTTGTGGAATGCTTTATGCTAAAAGCTACTAACTATATGGACGTAGGAAGCTATAAATGCTTTTGATGTTTGGTATCATTTTAAGGAAACAGTGAAAATTCTGCTTTTGGAATTTGTGAAATTTTAGAAGACCATAAATCTTATGATACTTCTGCAGAGGCAACTGGGTAGGTTAGGGGAAGATCTAGTCTTATTAAATCTTAATAAATTCTACTTGTTTTTTTTTCAGGTTCAAATCTCCCTAGAGTCTTCTCCAAACTCATATTATGATTTCTAATTATTATTTTTAATCTTTTTTTTTCTCTCCTTGGTGTCTAATTGGTTTCTCTGGGTTTTCTCAGTTTAATCTTAATTCCTGCCTCAAATCATAATTATGCATTCTCATCCAGCAAAATCTTGAACCAGGGTCACCATCCTGTTAGATTAATTTCCTATTGGCTTAATATCTGGAGACATTTAGGGCCAAATTCCATTAATTTGGTGTCTTTGAAACCATTTTTGGCAAGGTGGGCAACATTCAGATTTTCAGACAGTGAAGGAGCCTTATCTTGTATGAATATGCAAGATTCTTGAGTTAGACTGTATCAGTTAAAAAATCTTGTTAAAAAAAAAAAAATTCTTTCCACCTGATACCATCATCATTTCATAGCTTCTAATTACTATTTTTAATTCATTCTTTCTTTCCCTTTTTCTAATTAAGTTCTGAGTTTTCTCACAGTTTAATCTTAATTAATTCCTGCTTCAAATTCTCCTGTATTAAAATGTTCATCCAAGGACATCATGCTGTTATATCAACTTGCTTGACAAAGAAAATGCTGGGTAACTAGCCAAGTAGAATAAAATGGGCCACCTAGCTAAAATATAAATTTGTTAAACTTGAACTAAGAAGCTTGAAAAAGTACCAAGTGTTTGAAAATATATAGGAAGCTTGAACACATACTTTAGGAATAGAATCACCTGGGATTTTGGTGCAGCAAACATTTGAACAGTTAATTTAACAAGATATCAAATATTGTTTGATTATGTTAAATATTAATCATATTGGACAAAAATCACAGTGGACACACATATATGTGTGTATGTATGTATGTATGTGTGCGTGCACACACACACACACACACACACACACAAGCACAATGTGCATTCCAGAAGTTTTTAAACTTTTTCAGGAGAGACATCTATTAATTCCAAAGTAATGCAAAACTAATCTACTTCAAAGTCAAATCCTCTGACTTCAATGTATTTGTTGTAGTGCTCCAGCCACTTTGTGAAGACCCCATGGAAGTTATCCAAAACAAACACATGCAGGACCCTTGTCCCAGCCTCGTTCATCTTCTCAATGTATTCAGGATGACTGTCCCTGAGGTTCTCCTGTTTGGGGAATATGCAAAAGTCATAGGGATCATGGTCTATACTGTATAGAGGGTGAGGGCCAGTTTTGATGCCCACCTCTGTCAACAAAACTTTATTGCATAGCAAATTTCCAAAATGTATATATTCTGACTGCATTCTGCAAACTAATCAGGTGTGAAAAGCAGTGTTTAGTAGGGTGTGTTCAAAGAGCTGTTACAGCTGTCTTCTATCTGGAAAAGCTAAAGCTGGCAGGACATCTATAAATGCCCTCCTTAAAAAAAGTCTCAAAACTGCACCTCATTTGTCCAGTTTACATTAGAGTCAAAAACTGATTTATGGCCTAGCCAAAAAGCTAGACATTGTTTTAGCAGGTTTATACCAAAGTCTCAAACATCTACCTTGAAGTGGCACCTTTGTGCAGGTTGGGGTCTTATTCTTCTGCGTGGAATGCAGTCAGTGTACTCAAAGAATCATTGACAGAGCAAGTTGTCTTCTTACTGACACACTACATAGAGATACAGAGCTGAATGGTTATGATGAAAACAGGGCATGCAAAAGTTATGAGCCTTTGAAAGGACAGTTTTATTGCATTTATCTACATATTTTGAAAATTAAATGTTGTAAGTACTAAAGTATGGCTCACACTGGCATCTATCTTGTTGAACACCGTTTGTTCATAAAAATTAATCAAATTGATTTTTTTTAGATTGTTAAATCATTGTTTTTCACCATAGATTGGAATCACAATGCAGATGGTGCTTTAGAGACCTGTTACTTTCTTCTCAAGAAATAAGGCCAGTTTTCTCTTATGGATTATATCTGAAGAAGAGTGAACAATGAATGAAAACTTTCTGGTGAAAACATTAAGAATACAAAAGAAATAATTTGTCCAGACACAACTTGCAATGTCAACAAGTTTTCTTATAGGCAATACATACATTTCTTTTTATTCTGTGAAAATATAGGTTTGTGTGTTATTAGAGATATGTGCACAAATGTATGGAGCCCAAGTTGAACAGCAAGGTGGAAGACAACAAAAGATCCTAGACAGAGTGTGACAATTTAATTCCTGGAGTAACTGCATCATGTCACTGGAGTAAGGAGTTAGGAAAGGCAATCATTTGTATCTGTGTATGTTTGGGCATGTTCCAACTACCACTGTTTTGAGAAACACACCAGATGAGTCATTAGTTGCCAAGCAGTAGAGGAAGCTGTATGTGTTCATGTTATACTATAGACAGAAAATGAGTGACATAAACCTTGAGCAGCATCAAAATTTTCATTTTGTGATAAAAACAATCAAAGTAAGGATGCAAGTCATAAATACAAACAATTTGCTCTCATAAAAGGTGATAAAATAAAACAAGTCAATAGAAATGAACTTACACTTTCATATCACGAAAGCAATTAATGCATAACATGACTTTTTTCTCTGTGGAAAACATGATGTACTGCTCTCCATGGAGTGCTGGTAAAAAAAAAAAAAAAACAGAATTTAAACACTTAAATGCTGCTGCTTTTTTTTTTTTTGTAATTTTCATGTCTTATATTTCTCAAATATTAATCACCACCAAAGTTTCTCCATAAGTTTCATATTCTACTTCCATTTTGTAGCTAATTTTAGTTTCATTTTAAGAAAAGAAAGAAAAAAAAATACTTCTTATTAAAAAAAAAAGAAACAAAAATACAAACAATAGGAATCAATTTACATTATTCGGACTGTTATCCTCATCTTCATTCACAACGTTTCAGCTGTTGTATGTGTGCGAGGAAAAAAAAAAAAAACAATTTCTAGTGACACAAAAAACGAATGCCTTCTTGAGACACAAAAACGAACACCTTCTTGCGACACAACAACGAACGACTTCTTGCAAACCAGAAACGAATGCTACACAAAAACGAACGCCTACTTGTGACACAACACTTTATGACAGCCAACAAGCAAAACGGCACCCAAGACTGCTGCCGATGGACGACCGACCGCAACAGCTTTTGTCGCCCAAGAAAAGACAATTAAAACGACTCGTGCATCTTCTTCTTATAGTCCTCGATCGAGTCCATTATGGTACTCAAGATGTGCTGGTGACAACACACACCACCAGTTCAAGGACATTTCCGTGCATACTCGTTACAGTATGCTCCAGCCTTCTTCAGGTGATTTGCCCACCAGGGTAGATTGTAGAGGGAAAAAATTGCAATATGGGCAATTAGTTTCTGAGACATTAAGTTTATTAGTCCTAGAAATTCATACACAGATGTCCTCAAGGACACATAGCCGAGTGAATAAAGACATTGGTTAGATCCAGTGACTAGACCCAAAGAGTAGTGAGTTCAATACCAGGCTACAGTGGTGAACCAAAATTTGGAGAGTTGAGTTAAAGGGAAATAACTGAGATATCCAGAAGAGGTATGTTACATGGAACTAGGACAATCTACCCTGGTGAATGAAATAAAGGGTTCGATTTGAAATTCCAGTCACCTGAAGAAGGCTGGAGAATACAATGGTCAAAACATGAATATGGCAATGAAGATGAGGATAACAGTCCAAATAATGTAAATAATCATAATACCTCATATCAGAGATATAGACAGATAAATAAGAATCAACTTTATATTCTCCTTTTCCCCCTGCTAAAAGGAAAACATGTTTAATTCCTGTCAAGAGGAACATTTTCTTCAATAAGACTTTCAAATTTCTAGGCTAGTAGATGTTAATTTCATTGTTAAAAAAAATAAACACATCTACTCAAACATGTTTACTCATGAAATATGTCTATAATAATAAGAAATAATATTGGATTAAAAACTTAATTGTTTAAAAATTTATGCACATACACACTCTAATGTACCAAAAGCCAAGAGAATATTGATTCTATATATGATCCGGTGCCCGTTATTTACCTTGAGCTCCTGGATAAGATCCAAAGAAGAATCAGTAATATTACTGGCCGTGATCTGGCAGCTCAGCTTCAGTCACTTGCCCATAAAGTTGCCTCTGTGCCTTTTCTATAAATACTTTCATGATAATTGTTCAGATGAGCTCTTCATTATGGTTCTGAATTTAAGTGTAGTGTTGAGAACTCAATTTACAGTAAAGCTGGCTAGATGTAGCTGTAAATTCTAAACTAACAGTTTTTTTCTCACACTTCTTGCTTGTGAAACTCCCTTCCAGCTCCATGCTTTCCAGCCAACTGTAATCTGCAAAAATTTAAATGCAATGTTAATCACTATCTTTTGCCCTCCTGATTACTCTTTTTTCCCTTTCTGCTAATCAGTAATGATTTTGTTCCTAATTCTTCCACACCCTGTAACCCCTTGCATTTTAGTGGTTTTTCTGCCTTGCTTGGGGTGATACTGATTAAAAAGAAATCCAGTAGAAGTTAAAAAATGCTAAACTGACCTGTTCATATAAAGATGGCACCTCCTGCACTGAATATGGACATGATATTAGACTGTGTCACCTGTCTATCAAGACAATTCTATTAGTGGCCCATGGTCATGATCATTAAGGAATTATTGTTGGACACTGTGCTGTCCATAGTTGGTGGTAATGCCTTTCATTAAATATTCCTGGTACACATCTGATTGAAGGATGGCAAATAATAATTTCAGAAATGGAATATTCCATCTTTCTGGCACCCACTGTCCGAACTCTGATAATTCATGTTGTTTTGTCACTAACAGTGTAAACAGTGTTCATATTAACTCGAGCAATATAAGTCTAATTGTTTCCATGATGCTAAGGTATAGTGGCACCATCAAGCATTACTCTCATATACTGCTATACCCATGACTTTTGGCACATGAGTGTATATACAATAAATCCCAATATTCAGCACTTGCTGTGTTGCACCAACAAGCAGCAGGATCTGCATATGCTGTAACAGACATTGGTGCAGAAAGTGGAATTGGTAAGCTGAGTTCAAATTCTGGGCTAGTCTATTGCAATCACTTTTGCAAAAATAGTTTCTAAATAAATCTCTTGTCTCCCACTTCAGGCTATAGCTTAGATCACAGGATAAACTGTGTTCTCTAACCAGTTTAAGAGAAGGAAAAACTGAATTTCAAACTGTGAAGAAGGCAATGAGAAACCACTTCACTATCTTTCCCAAAGAGGTATGTCAATTCACAGATAATTTAGAAATTGAAGCTGTGAAGAGTTATAGATGCCTATATCCTGAAGGGACATGGCATTAAATAAATAAAAAAAAAACAGGAAGAATAAATGGATATGTTGGGCTGATGGTTGGGGTTCAAGCCCAGGACTTTGATGAATGACTTTCAAGGCTGTTTTTCTTTGAAGTTTTCGAACCCCATTCCCTCCCATTAGGCCTTCAATCAGACTAAACTAACTTTAGTTAATTTCAAAGTCACTTACCGCATCTTTTGTGAACTTCTTTAGTTTTTTTGGATAATAAAATTATTTCGTGTCGTGCAAACATCTTGGCTTTGTGTGTTTCTTCTCGACAAATGTCACAGAGAGGTTGAGAACAGGTGTTGCAAAAGAACATATGGACTTTATTCTGAGGAAATAGACAAGAAAAAGAAAAATAACCACATAAGTTAAAAAGGAATTTATATTATCTTAGATGTATGGATAAAAGCAAAAGAAATTTATAATCTTCTAAATAAAATGCAAATTCCAGCCTTTTATCCATGTGTCTGAAACCCCACTAACCTTTTCAAATGGCTTGATCTACAGACATTCCTTTTTGGAATCAAGATGATTGAAAATCTCCCCTTCATCTACAATTGAACATTTATTACAGGATTTGTGGAGGAAAAAAAAATTCACATTTAAAATAACTGGAAAAAAAAAAATAGTGATTTTAAAAGTTTTTTTTTTATTGAGTTTCAAAAAAAAAAAAAAGGTGAGAATTAATCAGGCACATTTTTAAATTCAGTTTTTTAATATCTCAAAATCTTTTTGAGGATGTGAGAAATCAATTTTAAAGGAATCAAAATTTAAAGTTGGACAATCAGAAATTGACATTTTGTTTTGAAGTTCTTCATGTTTCAATTTTTGGACCATATCAGACTGAAGAATTGGTTGGCTTGGCCAAAATTGGACTTAAGAACAAAAAATAAAGTTTTGAAAAATTTGGAATAAACTTGAGAATTCAAAATATTTCTTCAAAATTATCACTGTTTAGTTTTAAAGTTTGGACCAGAGGTCACTTTAGAAAATTAAGCAAATAAATGAAATAAAAAAGTTATGTTAAATTTACTGCATTTTTCATCTAATAAATCTATGAAGTGGAAAACACAAAATAAGTTTTTTAATTTTCCCTGACATTTTTTTTTTATTATTTAAATTTAAATAATTTTCAGGTGATAATAAAAAATCTGAACCAATTAATTAATGCTAATAATTTTTTTTTCTAAAAGGTTAAAGCACTCTGAAGCAATAATTTTGAATGTAGAGCATTTGTGACAGCTGTTTCCCCCCCCATCAAATCTCATGTTAATTCTACATGTTTTGATTAAATCTTGACTTGCTTTTGTATGAGTATTGAAGGAAAAAAAAATGGGAAATTAAAAAGGACAAATAAGAAACTAAAGGTTAAATTGAAATATAAACAAGAATAGTCCTTCCAAAATAGTTAATATATAACAGGAAAATTAGTTTTGTTATTGTTTTTTTTTTTTCCTAGTTGTCTCCAAAAATTGTTTTGGCCGACCTATTATGACATAAATTCTAAAATTTTTGTCTTTCACTTATTTCTTTTATCAAAGCCCCCCCAAATTAGGAACAATTCAAAAATTGGCATTAGTTTCATATTCTTTATCCTCTGAGCAAAAATGTTCTCCATAAAAATGAATTTGCCTGGAATAATGATTCATGTCCTCAGGTATGTATGAAATGGATTTTATCCATAGGAGGGTATATAAGTTATCTACTATTTCCCTCAAGATTTTTAAAAGAAAACTTGTGTTCAAAGACAGATCTCTAGTCTGTCCATCCTTTTATTGATTCATTTCTATTTTTTCATATCTTAATATGAATAAATTAAAAAAAAAAATTCATTGTTGAATTTTAACAAAATGTCTTCCAAAAGATGGAAAAAAAAAAAAAAACCTTTCAACCCTGTTTCTTTATGTAATACTGGAGGACTGTACAAATTACAATTTCCTAATCCTATGTGTGTGATTATAATATTGTTTTTTGAGGGCTGAAATTTTAAACCTTGTCTAAAATCCATCTAGTCAAGAGCACTAATAAGAAAGTTCCTTATTTCCTCTGTCCCTCTTGTCCCAAAATCTATGCTATAAGTTATCAGATTTGACAATTTTTTCCTCGTTATCACCTCTAGGAAAAATCAATTCTCTATTTTATAAATAATTTTTCTAGGAAAATCAAAAATTTTGGCTGAAAACTAAGTCCATGGTATTCCTCATAGCCTTTTTTTTTTTTTTTTTAAAATCAAGTCATTTTTTTCATTCACTGCCATAACTGGAATTGGTATTCTTCAGTACAATTTCTTTGGGACCTAACAAATATTCTGTTTATTACATACTAATCTCTTGCAGATGATTTAATTGACCCTCATCTTGTGAACCTGCATATTTTACTGCCAATCACCTTGAATCAAATATTTAATGTTATGTAATGTCTTCTGTTTGCTTTTAAACTTGGATTTTGCTAACAATGATTCTGTAATTAAAGTTTTATTGTTTCCTGTATTTTTCAAATGAATGACCGATACCTACTTCCCTATTTTTTAAATATTGAGATCCACAACAATAAAAAAAAAAAAATTATCAGATCTGTTGGGTTCAGGGTCAAAATGGGATGCTAACCTATTCCCCTATAACTATCAAATTTTATTGATCAGTTTTATTATCTGGAAATCAATGCTGCACTAGACATACATCATTTTTTTTTTTTTTAAATGGAACTCATCATCCAAATCCAAAACAATACTTGCTGTTCTCAGACAGTAAATGAATAAAAGTTGTTTTATTATGCAGAAAAATACAGTAATCTTATTTTCATTTGTTTGTTCATAAATTAGCTTAGTAACAAATAGGATTTCTTTTAAAAAAAAAGAAAGAAAATGGAATCCCATGAAATTTACACAGTTAATGTCCGACCCAAGTACCATGATATACAATTTTAATATAATATTTAAAAAATAAAAAAAACCACTTCTATTTTTTTTTTAAATTTATTTGGGATATTTTCTTGAAAAAAAAAAAGATTTGAAAAATAAACTGATTTAAAGTTCTCCTGGTTTAACTTCCAATTAGCTTAAAAATAGAACTTATTTAAATATCCTTAATAGGATATATCCAATAACAGTTCAGAAAGTGAAATGTCTCCCGGGAAAAACTTGGATGATTTCAATAAAAAAAAAAAAAAAATTGTTGAAAAAGTATTTTTTTTAATTAAAATTTCCCTCAAAATATTTTTAATTTATTTTTGAAATAATCCCAATGATCATAAAATAATATATTAAAAATGCGTTAAAAATATAAATGCAGACTTGTTTTTCAAAATTTCTCTTCTTTTTCATACTTTTTCAAATTAAATTTGTCATCATACTTGATGCAATCAAAAAATCTGTAGGCAAAATTTGATTCTTAAAACTTTTTTTCTCAAATAAAACAAAAAAAAAAAAAAAAAAGAAAAAGAATGTTCTAGATAATTCTAAAAAAAAAAAAAAAATAAAAAAGAAAAAAAAAAATTTGAAAAAAGAAAAAAAAAAAAATGAAAATAATCCACCTCAAACAAAAACAAAAAAAAAAGAAAATCTATTTCAAATTTTTTTTCCAAAAGGGATTACAAAAAATTCTTAAAAATTCTTGAAATCTTTTTTTATAGGTTTTTCCTATCAAATAATAAAAAAAAATACAAAGCAAAAATCACATTAATTAAATAAGACCTCACATTATAAATTTTATACTTGAAAAATACTCCTGGAACCTGTGCCTTTCTTTCATCTGTCATGAAACAAACATAAAATGTAAATTTTAACACAATTTTGCTGTGTTATTATTTAAACGGCAAGATGGCAAAACACTGCACACAGGGAGATCTTGAAAGGAAGGAAAAAGAGATAAAATTAGATACAGTTATTTTCCTTCTGACATTTTTTTTCAACCTGGGATATAACAAATTTTAATAATGAAAACCAAAATCAAAATTTACATATACATTTCTGATTTATGGAATTTTAAATGCAACAACAAAAAAGGATTTCCCTTTGTCACAACACCATTTATTGTTTTGAATAACACACAGTTCCGATCTCCATAGTTCCAATCCATGCTGAAAATTTTTTTAATGAAATTTTCATTCATGTTTGTAAATTAAAATTAAACTGTTTACAAGATTTAAAAATATCCTTGTGGTAAAAATGTTGTTGATTGAAAAAAAATTTAAATCTTTCTTTTTGCTAATTTAAAACAATCCATTTTCAATCAACAAAAAAGATAAATAAATAAAAATGAATAAAAAACTCCCAAACTGGTGAATCACATTTGCCAATTCAGCTCTTTCCTCTTCTAATTTCAACCTTCTTCATACCAGAATTTGAGCAAAGTAACATAATCAGATTTTATACAGGTTCCTTCCTTTTAAAATCAATACAAAGCACTGAAATCACAAGATGTACAACACTTCAATAAGAACTGGAAATTGAAATTTGCTGCATTTAATTCTGAAAAAAAAAGTAAATTTTCTCAAATTCTATCAATATATATTTTCAAGTGAGTTTAAATTTCAAGGACAAGAATTTATATTACCTATTTATACAAGCATATATATATATATATATATATATATATATATATATTCATGAATTATTCATACAAAAACAAATACAAAGGTTAATGATTTAATTGGCGAGAAATCCATCGTCGCGAACAATTCAAATAATATACAAAAACCCGAACCTGTTTATGAATGAAAAGATCCTTGTTTTTATAAATTTCTGTTGCATTAGTTCTTATTATTTTTTACAAGCTTTTCGTCTGTTCCTACAGACATCCTCAGGTATGGAATAGATTTTGTTCTTGTTTTTACTCTCAGTAATAAGAGGACAACGAAAATATATGTATTGTTGTAATCCGAAAATGCTATTAGAAATGAGTTTTTATTATTTTAGGTTTCCTCTTATTTTGGATTTAATTTTCAATTAAAAAAAATGATACAAATAAATTTAATCCATTTTTTAAATCAATTATTAAATTTATTTTTTTTTTTGTTCATGAATAATTCCTGAATTTTAAATTAATTGGCCTTTTATTTAATATCAATAAATATATAATATATATATATATATATAATTCTTCTTCAAAAAAAACTCCTTATGTCAAAATTTTAATTTCCTTGGGAGCATTAGGTTTAAAAAATTTAGTGGTTTGTTTTTGATTTGTTTTTTCTTTTAATTCATGTATTGCTGATTTAATTTTTTTTAAAAATGTAAAGCTTCATGTATTTTTTTTTTTTTACAAAAAAAAATGGCTGCATTTTTAGATTTTTTTTTTTTTTTTTATACTTTTGTGT